CATCGTCATCACCGCTGATGACGTCATCGGAGTCCGCATCGTCAACGTCACTGATGACGTCATCGGTGACGTCACTGATAACATCATCGGCATCGTCACGTGACCCCCCAGGTCACTTCACCCCGCCCCGCCCCCCCCCCCCCCCCCCCCCCCAGTACCCTTCCCTCCTCAAGAGCTGCGCTCTAATTCGGTGTTACGGGGAGTTGTAAAACGGCTTTTTCTTTGAGGAATATTCTGTGTCGATTGCGGATAGGACATATGCATTTCACTGATGGACATCTAAGAGGAGAAGGAGCACACAAGTGCGATTCCTGCTCTGAACCCCTAACTATTCTACATATTCTCTTAGTCTGCCCAAAATATGAGCGTGAACGTCGCAAACATTTTGCATTGTTTTACCATGAGCATGTTCCATTTCATCTGATACTTTTGCTTGGGGAGGACCGCTCATTCCACATACACAGGTTCATGAGTTTTTGAAGGATCTTGGCCTTATACACCGCTTCTAAATTCCTTTTGCTGCATTTCGATCGTTGACCCTGTTATCAATCTGCCTTTTCTATTTTATTACAGTTCTGGCGCACGATTTTCTCAAATCAAGAGCATGAAGCAAAAGTCGAACTTGAATGTCCAGTACAGAGTACGGCCATATAAATAGTAGTCCTGTTCGTTTTACATGCAAGTTTTTTCTAAACACTCCTGTTACCGTTTTTTTTATTATGATTTGCTTTTGGTGTTTATGTCAGTGTGCTGTGCTTGGGGTTTTAAAGGGATACTTCAACGAAATTTGAAATATTCCCGTCGTGTTCAAAAATAGGTTGAATATGATCCACAATATCCGTAAATGACAATCGCACGTTTGTATTTTGATCATGGTGGCTGTATTTTTCGTTATAAATGGCCCACTCTGGCAAGCGCTCGGAGAAGGCCCAGCTTAGAGCACGTGACATCCAACGCAATCGTGACGTAGGTCGTCTCAAGACGAGCAAAGCTACGGCGAGGCTGACGTCGAGAGGATGGCCTAGTCGTTCCAGCCACCGAAGCGGCTGCTTTTGTACGAATTTTGAGTGACGGGTTAATCTTCTATAATCTTCTAGGGGGACAATAGCGACTTCTGCGACACACAAAAGGGATTCTCGGGAAGAGGAGAGTTCCTCCTTCCCCCCTTCTCTCGTCGTGGCCGGAGACGAGACAACCTCCGTCACTAGCTGCCAAGGTTCCTAGACGAGCATTACAAACGAGGCGTTAGCGACATCCACCAGGTGCTCTTTGCTAATCGTTTAATTCGTTTTAAAATTCCTTTTCGAGACTTTTTTAACAAGATATTGGTATGTTCCATGTGATACTGCTGTTTTGAACACATATAGGCCAAAAAATGAGCGCCGAAATTTCGTTGTAGTATCCCTTTAAAAAGTAGTCAAATGCTTACCTCACACTCTTTTCAAGCTTGCACGTCAAGTCTGGCCTCCGTGGCAAGATGCAGCAAATGAGGGCAGCGAAGAAAAGCTCGCTGGAAAATTTATCACCGGAAAAAAGCTCACCAGAGTATAGCTCACTGGAGAAAAGCTCACTGGAGAAAAATCTCACCGCAAAACCGGCAGATGCGGAGAAAACCTCACCGATTTTTTTTTCTTCTTTTTTCTTAGCTTAGCGGATTGTGAGTCACACGTGGCAATTTAACACAATTAGAATTACTCACTTCATTAAAAATAATTTTCCTCTTTTTTGTAATATTCTTGAAGTTCATTGGGCATATTTACTAATTCCTCAGAAATTAGTAATCACCCATTCTGTATATTAATGACGCAGCAATTATAAAATCAGAACATCGGACATCCGCAAAAAAGACAACTCATTGACAGCTTGACAGAGCGCCAAAGGTAGCTCTTTCAGATAAAGAGGTTTGTTTTTTTGCGAGCTAATATGAATAGCGGTGTGTCGATCGTTTGCAAAGATGAAAGAGCGTGTTGGTGAAAATACGGGAGTCAAAGAAAGAATAAAAACACTTTTTTTTTCCGGGTGTATATAAATATATTAATTTCCGCATCTTCCTCTTTAGTCTCAAACGTTAGGAAGATAGCACTATTGAAGGAGACACCAGTAAATGTGTGTTGCTAGTTGAAAGAACTGTGCTGTCTGTCCTTGTCCTTAAGTGTTTTTATTCTTTCTTTGACTCCCGATCGTTTGCATATTATCTTTTTTTCACTAATGAATCTTTAGACAAGAACAGCTTTGTCCTGTCGAGTTTGTTGTTGTCACTCCGTACTCGTTGTTTGAGCAATTTTCATCACATATAACGTTTACCCCCAACTCGCCCAATTCTCTACCTTACCTAGTTATTATATAGGTCACGAGTAACAACGGTGACAATGTGCAGCCTTCAAGGTCTCATGGGTGGCTCGCCGTAAAAGGGCACTATCACACAAAGGCAACGTGTGGAAACACCAGCGTGAACAGTTAGAAAACGTGCTTGTCCGTAGAAAAAAGAAGCCTCGATATTCTACTGACTAGTTCTACTAACTAGTTAACAAAAACCTTAAAGAGGATTTCAGGCACCAAGTTGTTGCGCAGGCAATTTCACATTAAGTTTTGAAACTTTTTCCTGTTCTTCACATGCATAAACTTTTCAGCTAGGCTTTCGTTCCATAGAAAGCAAAGCACAAAAAAATACTCGCCTGCAATTGTCAATTTGGGAGCAATATTCCCAATAAGTAAGGCTGTGTTTTCTAATAAAGCCGAAAAACTCCCCAAAACACCCGCCGGTACAAATTTTGTCAATTCGGATTTATCCAATAAACTTCGAATTGTTATATGTGCCCATGCCACCCCCCCCCCCCCCACACACACACACACACACACACAGCAAAATAAGAAAAAGTAACTTTTTACAATTTGAGCAGCGCATGATCAGTGGTCCTGGGAAAATGACACCATAATTATCTTTCAAGCATCGGACAGTTGTCAAAACAGGGTCTTACGGCTTGTCTCATCAAGGTTGGTTCAGGGAAACAGGTCATTGTACCGTTCGTGTCCCGACAAAAGCCACTCCTTTGGTTTCCAGTTTGGGTCATGGGATTTGGGATTTAGAGAAAGGAGAAGGTATGTTTCTGGGGTAACATAGAAAGCTATGGACCATAGAGGTTGTATAAAATAGGGAAGGGGGCAGTTGAAACTTCTCTATGCAATGCAACAATTTTTGTACTTTGCTCAAATACCGCTTAAAACGGATCCCTAACGTTAATGACCTATGAAACACGCGTTCGTTTTTCACCCCACGCAATAGAAGTCTAAAAAAAAAATTAAAGAAAAATGACCAGCGTTCACCCCCTCAACTCGCAGCCAGAACAAGCGGCCACGTGATCTGGAGCCGATTATATGCCGCCAGTGTTGATCATAGCCACGCGCTGGGGTTGGCAAAGCGCAGGACACGCGCTGAGTTCCAGACATTGTTATGGCTTGGCTGTTGTCGTCGTTGCAGCGATTGGACACGGGTCACTACCCGGATGCTCCTCGAGCTAGCGATTATCACGAGCCCAAGTCGAGTGCCCACGCAATGCTCGGGTCCAATCTATGAACCGCATTGAAATATCGTCACTTGGGTGTACTGCGATCCCCACGTTACGTCATCAAATTTTGCAAAGGAGAGATTGAATGAAAATGATCGCTTTTGTCCTTGAAATTACACCGCAACAAAGGATATCGAGTTTCTTGGCCAGTGGCGTTGCGTGTGAGTATCCTTGAGTCCCAGGTGTGCCAATAAGCTCGTGTCAAGTGAAAAACATTCCAATTGAATATCGTTGCACCGCTCCTTTATCCACTCCACCTCGTGCGGTTGCGGGATAGGTTGATGGGATGACTACGAGCTTCCTTGCGGCTACCTCCGGCAGTTTATTGATTTTAAGGTATCGGCGTTTATTGAAGTCACACTTGTGTGCAACTTTTGTCGTAGGACAATTTAGTATTGCCAATGACACCAACGCCAAATTCAAATGAAAAAAAAATTGAGACAAGCGAGTTTTTTTTTTTTAATCTGGCATACGTTTGCACCGAGTTATTATTTTTTTTAATAGGAAACACTGCGAAATCATTCTCCAAATTTCAGAGAATGGGGGATTTATGAAAAATAAACTCTGATAAACACCCTATATTTGCTAAAAAAAAAAAAACTCCGAAAAACACTCCCGAATTTCGCAAGAAATAAACTCCGAAAACACGTAGCCCTACCAATAAGCTTAACAATATTACAAAAACTGACATTTTTTTTTTTTTTACAAAACTGGCGAATTTTAATGATAATACATTTATATATGTTACGCAGGCTCCAACAGCCTCCATATGAAAAGAAGGACAACAATCTGTGACCGTTTCTCCGCATAAGCTAAATGGCCGGTGAGCTTTTCTCCGCATCCGCCGGTTTTGCGGTGAGCTTTTCTCCGGGATTCGGCTAATGGCACGTTGTTGCTTTGCAAGGAGACTTCTTCTGACTGGCCAACTCTACTTTTGAGAGCATGCATTTTTTGTGCAGTCTAATTTGCTTATACCAACCAGTCCAGCATCATTGAATCAAAATGAGCATCTCCTTTTGCACCAGACGGATCCCAGTAATTTAGATTAGCTCAAGCAGTCAACCAATGTGATTGCATTCACCACCACTCTATTTGTACAAAGAAAACCTGTGCGACAGGATTGTTTTGCACCGCTTGCTCTTGCCTGGTGTTTGGGATTACAAGCCTGGAAGAAGTACTTGGATACTCAAGTAGTGTGTGATTTTTCATTGATGTACAGTGACATTGACTGTATGGTGACTTTTTCTAGAATATTATTACAGCAGACAGACTTCGCAGGCTACATGCTACCTTCACTGCAGCCTTATATTTCACGGCAATTCACAGGCCCAGAGATTAGGCTCTTTTATTGTTCCTTAAGGCTCTTAGGATGCGAGATGAGCTGAATTCATTGAAAAATAAAGTGCACATGAAAATGATCTGCATGAATGGGCTATGCTGATTCAAAGTGTGATAATACTTTCGTGTAATAACAGCCTTACAGCCTTTCTCAATACTTGAAGTTTTTATTTGACGCGTTTGTTTTCTTTGCTCTCAAATGAACAGGTGTCGGTACGCTTGTTTGTGTGTTCCAGTTTCTGCTGATTGCAATGCCGATTTGCCAAATTTGTCTAATGCTTGCGCGTTGGCATTGAACTTTCATTGTCATTGACTCTCCTTGTTTCTCGGGTCTCCCTAACAGTGCCGACCAAAGCAGTCTTCTGGGACGATGGGGACAGCGAGAGCGACTTCTTTTCCACTACAGGCGAACTGGTTGAGTCGCAACCCGAGACGCGACCACGACATCAGGGCATGTACGACTGTGAGTTCTGCCCTTACACCACTCCTTATCAAAACGATGTCACCAGGCACAAAAGGACGCACACAGGGGAGAAGCCTTTCCGCTGCTCTGTCTGCGAGAGAGTGTTTGCTGTAAATTGCAACTTACGGCTTCACATGAGGACTCACACGGGAGAGAAGCCATTCCGCTGCTTTGTGTGCGAGAGAGCGTTTGCTGTAATCGGTACCTTACAGACTCACATGAGGACTCACACGGGGGAGAAACCGTTTCGCTGTGAGGTTTGCCAGAAGACATTTGGAAAGAAAGATCACCTGGTTACTCACAAAAGAGTCCATACGGGGGAGAAACCATATCAGTGTGGCATCTGTGAGAAAACATTTTCTGCTCAATCAAACTTCTTGAGTCATAAACGAACCCACAGTGGGGAGCGGCCTTACAAGTGTGAAGCATGTGGGCAAGTGTTTGGCACAAAAACCCATTTAAGTAGGCATAGAAAAAGAATGCACAAGTGAGGAATCGGAGCCATGGAATTTCTGGAGGTCATTCATGTGGAAGAGTTTTCATGTTTTACCGTGTGTTTCACTGTTTGTGTGTTGAAATTTGTTCACCTGAGGTTGAGAAACATGGATATTCATCAGTTAACGTTATCTACTGCAGTAGGCAACAGCTGCAGTACTGCTTAGTAGCATTTTATCTTAAAGGGGCGGTGCAACAATTTGCGGACTTTGGCTAATTAATTGCGGGAATTGATCCCGGCCACATATAAAACAAAGGACCGAAAACTATTCTTTCCTGCTTACCCTAGTTTTCATTAAAAAAAATAAAAGAAATTGGTATCTCCGGCAACCCTCAACTCAACATTGAAGCGGCACCAGCTTCGCCTGTGACGTCATTCGGAGTGGCGTTGGTTTCCGGTTGGGTGCTTCTGGCTTCCGTTTCCCCAGCGCTCACCGGCTCGCCAGGCTCGCCGCTCTCCCGCTCTCCCGTCGATTCCCGACCAACATGGTGGCGCGGCGGAAGTCGAAGTCAAAGTCGAGGTCTAGACACCAGGAACAATAACGATACCACGACACTACGGACCACGACCAACGGACTCCGTCGAGCGAGGGAAAGACAAAACGTCCGGGTTGCTCGTGTAGCCGCCGTAGGCGCCCCGGGCGTCGACGGATGACGGCGACGGCAGGTTTTGTTGACTTGCGGTAGATGGCGCCACAAATAATTCATACCCTTTTAGCGGCAATATTAGGCTTTTGAAGCGCTTCTGCATGCCTGAACAACAAGATTTTTTAAACTTAACCTTAAATCAAGCTTACAATTGCCTAACACTATCACTTACAAAAACCACTCCGAATGACGTCACACCACAGGTTCCATTTGCGGCCACCATGTGGCCGCAGGTTGGGAAAAAAAGCGTTTTTTATTTTGCGATTACGCAGCGAAATATAGGTATTTTGGGATATGGTGGCACTTTTTCTCTTACTTATGCCGAAGTAAACAATATAAAAAATACAAGCTGCACATTCGTTCAGTATTAAAATCATTGCCCCGCCCCTTTAATGCTTTTGTTGTATAGAGTTTTGCTGCTTTTATCTTTGGTATTATTTTTGTTCTATGACGTATAGAGCGACTTTTAACTTCATTTTAGGTGGATGAGGAGCATTGGGGCTTACTAAGGCACATTGAATCCCGTGTATAAATTTTTGTGACAACATTTTGAAAAGTGATTCCACCAAGTTCTCTGGATTTCCTCACATTTTAACCTACGTTTGTCACTTTGCTCCTGTTTGAATTGTGTTCCTGAAGTTCTAAAAAGAAATGTGTCTGTTACTGTACTCATCTGTTCTTTGTGGATTCAGTGAATCACAAATAAACTACTTTCCTAGCTAAAGGAGTTGCCTTTCTGCCTCACTACCGTTGATGAGCATTCTACAAGCTACGAGCTATACCAAGTAAGCTTTGGTTTTAACTTGATGTTCGCCAGCAGAGAATGGGGGTATGATTCAGTATTGTCATCTAAGTCGGATTTTGTAAAAGTCCTTTTTCTGCTATGGTTTGCAGAAATTTTTGGAATTTCATTCACATTTATTTTATGGTTAATTTTGGCTTTGCAGCACCAAGAGAGCGTGGGGCTCGCTACACTGCTATTTGTTACGACGGGCATGAGAATTCCTAAAGGGTTCATGAAATGATTTTTGAACTTTTCCCTCCTCAGATTTCTTCCTCAACTCAAAAGCGAAATGAGGAATCGCGCGGTCATGACGTACTTCGGCACCAGTAGGATGACCCTAAGCTTCCAAATCCTTTAGTTTGATGTTCGAGCAGCATACATGAATAAATTAATTCCAAAATGTAATTTAATTTCAATTACAACCACTTTGCTTCAAAAGTAGTGTAACTACAATTACAGTTATTATTATGACGAAATCAATTATAATTACAAATCACTTTTAAAAATTAATGCAATTATTTATTTCTAAGTGACCCGACTAGGGCCACATGGCCACGTACGCGCTCGCTCAGCGACGAGTTGTATGGAATGCAACGCATTTGTTTATTCTTTGCTGAAAGGGCCCCTGAAAAGAAGAAAAATGTTTTTATTCATCCTCCTTCGTTTCACCTTACGTCCCGACGCAGCCAATGCTACGAGCTGATAGGATCAATCAAACAGCGTCTGTCAAAAAATAAACTTTAAGTGAAAAAAAAATTTTGTTCACAGGAATATTGACGGCGCGAGACGCGATTTGGTCTGTAGTCACCTCCTTTCCACTTGTTTTCTCTCGGCATTTCGGGCGCGTGGAGGAGAGGTGGATTGGCTTCGCCTTTACGCCCGACATTGTCGTTCCGGAATAACCCGTGATGTCATGGAATTTACGCGCAGGATTTCAAATAGCCTCCCACCGTCAAAATCGCAAAAAAAAAATCGCATAATATTTATTTTTTGACACGCGTCTCCCCACCAAACTGTTGAAAAAAACTTATTTTCTTTTCAGGGGCTTTTTAAGCATCGCCGCATAAATGTCAATCATTGTACTTTCTTTTCATGAATCTTATTAAATCCATGATAGAACTTGACAGTTTGGGGCAATGAAGTACCATATTCTTATATTTTAATACATTATAATAAATTCGTTCATTTGCTGGAAGACGCCAGATCGCTAAAGAAAAAGTTGGGTTGACTTGTTATCAAGGCAAAAAAAATGCGACAATTTGCCATATATGAATATTTTAGAAGTGTTAACATCAAACTAAAATCCACGCGCTAATACGACCAAATTCAGATACAAACGTCATGTTAAAGGACACATGCAAAGGAAAAAAAAAACATTTTTATACAGCTTAGATGAAAAAAGGATGTCATAAAACATATAACAACCAAGGAAAAAAAATAGAGCTATATTTACGGCGCTATACGAATTTGTAGTTGGCGCCTGCCGGCGCCACGGAAAAGTGGCCCTTATTTATCACGTGGTGCTTTTATTCATCTTTGTTTGAAGTATAACAAAAGCAAAGGTTAATAGGTAACTTTCAGAGTCCAAAGTAAACGCGTTGAAGCGGCGTTCGCACAACGCTCAGCGCGCGGGGGTAGCGTGACTTTGCGGCGGCGGCGACGCAGCGTGGCGGCGCACGGGTATATGCCACGTGACCAGCGGCGGCTCCCGCGGGTGCCAACTACAAATTCGTATAGCACTGTAAATATAGCTCTATAAATTTTTAGAGCGCAGCTCTTAGGCGCCCGTTTTCCGGCTTGAGTGGCGTCGGCGTCGCCGTCGGCATAACCGCGAGATTACGTGACATACCAAGGTCACGTGACCCCCAAGGTCACGTGACTCCCAGAGGTCACGTGACACCCAAGGTCACGTGACTCCCAAATCACGTGACCCCCTCCCCGAGGTCACGTGACCCCGTCCCCCGAGGTTACGTGACACCTTCCCCCGAGGTCACGTAACCCCCTCCCCCGAGTTCAGGTGACCCCCCTGGAGCATATTCAAGAATGAGGGGAGGAGGAGGAGGAGGGGTCTACCCTCCCCTCAGTACCCTTCCCTCCTCCTCCTCAAGAGCTGCGCTCCAATTCGGCGTTACAGGGAGTTGTAAACGGATTTTTAGAGCGCAGCTCTTAGGGGCCCGTTTCCGGCTTGAGCGGCGTCGCCGTCGCCGTCGGCGTAACCGCGCGGTGCATCATGGGAAATATCCCATAATGCACCACGCGAGCCCCCCACCGGGGTCACGTGACTTCGTGGGGGGGCACGCAACCCCCCCTCCGAGGTCACGTGACCACCGCCTATGTCGCGTGACCCCCCGATGACGTCATCGACACTGATGACGTCACCGGCATCCACATCGTCATCATCACTGATGACGTCATCATCAGTGATGATGACGATGCGGATGCCGGTGACGTCATCAGTGATGATGACGATGTGGATGCCGGTGACGTCATCAATGATACTGACGATGTGGATACCGGTGACGTCATCAGTGATGATGACGTCATCAATGATGATGACGTCATCAGTGAGGATGACGATGCGGATGCCGGTGACGTCATCAGTGATGATGACGATGTGGATGCCGGTGACGTCATCAGTGATGATGACGTCATCAGTGATGGTGACGATGTGGATGCCGGTGACGTCATCAGTGATAATGACGATGACGATGTGGATGCCGGTGACGTCATCAGTGATGATGACGATGTGGATGCCGGTGACGTTACCGACATCCGCATCGTCATCATCACTGATGACGTCATCAGTGACGTCACTGATGTCGTCACCGGCATCCGCATCGTCATCGTCATCATCACTGATGACGTCGTCAGCGACGTCACTGATGACGTCACCGACATTCGCGTCGTCATCATCACTGGTGAAGTCATCAGTGACGTCACTAATGACGTCATCGGTACCCGCATCGTCATCGTCACTGATGACATCATCAGTGACGTCAGTGATGACATCATCGGCATTGGGGGTCACGTGACCCCCAAGGTCACGTGACCCCCCCTGGTTAGTCTAACCCCCCCCCCCAGCGCCCTTCCCTCCTCCTCCTCAAGAGCTGCGCTCTAATTCGGCGTTACAGGGAGTTGTAAGCGGCTTTCACTTTTTTTTCTTCGTTGTAAAATCGTTTTATGACATCCTTTTTCCATCTAACTGGCAGAAAAAAAAATAACTTCATAGACAATTACAATTTTTAACCTCGGCTGAAAGCTGAAGTTCAATTTTGTTCTTTCAATATTTTTGGCATGTTTAAGCCATTGTTTTCTGCTCGCACCGCAGACGGCGCTACACGGCACCGTTGAGGTGGGCTCCAAAAAGGATTGTCTCTCAGCCTGCAGAGTAAGCAACAAGACAACAAACAATGAGATGCTATCTTTGTTGTGCCTGTGTGTTTGTGAATGTCTATCTGTGCGAGTGTGTCTTTGAGCGCAAACCGCTCGTGCGAGCGCTGAGGCTTTCAGAGAGGTTCCGTCGGCATTGCAGTCTTGCAAAAGTAATTGTAATGCGGAGGGCAAGTTCGTCTGCTTCTTGCACAGAGGGTAGCGGTGACGTCAGAACGCCGAGCCCTGATTGGCTGATCGCGACCCCCTATCTGAGCGTCGTCTGCTCCTTTGCAACGTCGTCTGCTCGCAACGTCGTCTGCGTCTGTCTTGCCTTTCCTGCGACTTTCGGAAGTTCAGGTCTTTACGAGCGA